GTCAAACAATACACATGGTCAAAGGTCAAACTTCTCTAAAGAAAAGTCAAACACGACGACTTTTCTACAATTATAGACAATTTTATCTTTCAAAACGAATACAATTTTACACAGAATTTCATTCCTAACATTCTCCCCCTTTGTATTTAGGCTTGAAAGAATTTGCTGGCTTTAAGTCTCGTTTGAACTTTGAAGCTTTAAGCACTCTATGTCTTCTTCAAAAAAATCTTCAACTTGAAACTTCAGACAATTATCTGTCGAGAAAGATCTTCTAACATTCTCCCACTCGAATGTAGAACAGCGATGATTTTCTCTTTTGACAATGTAGATCAGTATCAAAAAAAATCTTCAGAAACAATAACAATCTTCAAAATGATATTCAGTAAACTGTTGTAAAATGGATCTTCACATTCAACATCTCTCAGACATTGTAACATCGGAATAATCTTTGTAATCATCTCTAGTCGCACTTCTTTTGAGTCTTTTGCCAATATTAAGTTACTCCCTCTTGATCTTTACATCAAATTCCCTATATAATGATCGGAATTTGACATTTCATTCATTATTACGTACTCCCCCTTATGATGAAATGAGAATCATTCCATCATACATAAGAATGAATGAAATCCTCCGCGTAAGCCATCAAATCATGAAATTATAAGTAGATCTTTGCAAATCCACTTAATTAAACTTTTCAGATTAAGGGAAGAGGAAGGTAACAGCCAATTTCAACGAATGAAATTGTTTTTAATCTTATAAAAAGATTGGCTTGTGAGTATAACAGATATACTCAGTACAACGGATGTACTGTGTATATGAGACTTTTTTTATACTCATCTCATCAGGTCTTCTATTCAATCATCGATAGCTTAAAAATAGCATATCTATGAACATTTGGCAAATTAACATATAAAATGCAAAATCTGTGTAGTGTAGAAAGATAAAGCAACGTATGCTTCTTTTAAGACTCAAAAAGATAAACCGTGTGGACTACACAAATTTATCAGACTCAATACGTGATCAAAAAGACTTGAAGGGGGGACATATATCCTTCTGTTTTAATATCAACTTTCTCCGAATGAGAAATTGATAGTTGATGAGCTGCGTGCCCCAAGTGTTATTGAAACACTTATCTGTTGAGAGATAAATGAGTAGATAGTGGGGTTGTGACAAGAATTGGCCTGGGTTTTACCTGTTTCAATATTAGTCTCGAAAGAATTGAGAACTAATAGATTATGTGGTATGCTCGGATTTTAAAAGTTTGGAACATGATTCTTATGTTCTTTTAATCCTGATACAACTCTCTTTAATTCTTTTGGCTCACAACAACTACCCCTCTCATTTTCATTTTAGTCTCAGCACACAAACCCTTTTGTATATAAAGCTCACTCAGATATGGTTGTCCTCATGGGTAGGTTTGTCGGTTCTGACATTCCATTGAGGTATTTTTGATAAGCACTCAGTCCCTCCTAAAATTACATTTTATGCTCAGATGATCACAATGATTGATCAAAAATATTATTGCAGATAAGCACACTGATCAGATAAAATTTGATCAAGAAATTTGGCTTTTAAGCACAATCAATGAAAGAAAGATGAGACAACGATCATATTATTCGGTATATGAGAGTAATAAATGAAGATCTGTAAGAACTAGTTTTTAGATTCTGATATTCAAAAAATTATTGAATGTATATTAATCAAAGTAAAAAAATATCAGAAAAATCAAGATTTGAATTCAAATGAGTGTATTATCACCGAAAATGATTTTCGTATAAGAGACGTGATAATAACAGTTTGAAGAATAGCTAAAACATGTATAGGAGTTATGTACGATGAAAAATTACACAAGTAAAATCTCAGGAAATACATGTTCAGAAAAAGTACTTGTTTCTCAAAAACAACTCATTTATTGAAAAACTTCTAGAGACTCCCCCTAGAAAATTGATTTAAGTAATGTTTCAGTTTAGCTCAAAAGAATAAAAATGGAAACATGTTTAGCACGAGTCCTAAATTGGAATGTTTAGAAGCCTCGTTTGGAACAAATTACAACTCCCCCTGCATTAGTGTATCACTGATATGATATTCTGATCAACACAATTTTGACACACCTGCAAAACCAGATTAAATAGATTTTGGTACCCCAAACGAACTTGGGTCCTATTTTGTTAGTATCTGATTGGGGGTATGTTGTAACTTCCAAACCATCTATTTCTATTTGATATCTTCTTTTTAGCACTTTTAACAAGTAAATCAGATAAGCAGTAAGAACCATACCAGTCATTATTGTACCTGTTAAATGAATTCCAGCTGTTTTCAAACAAGTTGTTCCCATATCCTCTGTTGATCTTCTTGTTAACAAAATCATTAGATCCACAATTTGAACATAGGATTCTTCTCTTGTTGAGACTGGTCATTTTATTAGAAGAACTCACAGTGCAAGGAAGAACAGTGTTAGTTACAACAGATTTATGAGACACAACTGAATCAGCTTTATTAACCCATACTTGTTTAAATTTTGAAAAATTATTGATTGATCCAATGACATACCCTTGATAAAACTGATTTAAAGAATGAGACTTGTTCTTAGAAACAGTTGATTTAGGACTACTTGAATAACTATTGGACTTAACACTAGAACAGTTATAAAAGCAAGTTTTACAATGAGATTGAGAACCAGTTGAGACTCTTGAAAAGTCTGAAACTTTCTTAAGTAACTGATCTCTCTCATCAGCAACTAAATCATAATTCTTCTTAAGTGCAGTTCTTATGTTCAATTCAGACACAAGTTCTGTCTCTAGATCAGACAACTTCTTTGAAACATCCAAAAATTTACCTTCTAATTCTTTCTTCATCTTTTCAAACACTTTTCTTTCTTTCTCAAACTTCTTTCTYTCTTCATCTGAACTTCCCTTATCATTCTCCGAAGCAATGTCAAGCCATTTCCTTTTCTCAGTAAGCCCTTTGGCAATTGCAGCATGTTTCTTGACAGTACTTCTCTTCTCAAGAACAAACAACATTTTCTCTTCATCTAAAGCTTTTTGCTTTTGTTCAGCCTTTTTCTTTTCTTTATCAACATTGGCTCGTTCCAAGAAGATAAGTTGTTCAAAATCTGAAATGTGATTCAAAAGAAATTTAGCATTCAGCTCAAGTGAATTAATCTTATTTTCATAAGATATACGTTCAGCTTTAAATTTTCTTTCTAGTTCAACCACTCTCTTTCTCAAAAACTTCTCTTTCATCATTCAAATTCTTTTCCACTTCTAAAACCTTTTCTTTCTCTAGATTCAGAAGCTTTCTTAGCTTAACCATGTCACTTTCAGAATTATGAGATTTATCAGTTTTAGAATATGAACTTCTTGGAGTTTGTGAAATAGATCGTTATTAGACTGACTCCATGGTTTCAATTCAATATCACAATCTTTTCTTACATCATTCAGAGAATTTTCAAGTTTATTAATTTTATTTTTTAAATCATTCTCAACTCTTTCTAAAACCTCTTTATGCTCTTTTTGCAGATTTGCAATGAATACTACATTAGAATGGTTCTCATAAAAAATGTTTATGTATTTTTTTTATAGTCCACTATGCTCGTTTCCAGGATGCAAATCTGAACTCTCATCTCTTGATTCTTCTTCTCTAGGATATCTGTCATTTAAAAAAATTGACCAATTACAGGATCTAATGCGATGAAATCAACTTAAAAAAAATCAAAAACAGTTAAGCTCAAAAGTTAAAACAGAAAAACACAAACACTATTGAGAAATCAGAGAATCGACGAAAAACTGTAAAAAATCAGTAAAAACAGTCAAAACTGTCAGAAACAGTTAAAAAACTGTTAAAAACAGTCAGAAACAGTTAAAACTGATTAAAAACAGTTTACGCGACTCAAAACAGATCAAAAAAATTCTCAAACAGTTAAAACAAACCAAAACAGATAAAATCAGATAAAGACAGATAAAAAAAAATGAAACAAATGAAAGTCCAAAATTAAAAGAAGCCCAAATCGTAAAACTTGAAAACAGAATCCTTGTCTTCTGTGAAATATATTCCACCTTTAAGCAATGAATCCTTCAACCTTCAACCTTAAATGAAACAAATTAATAGTCTTCAATTAAACAAAAAACAAACAAACAACAGTTGAGCACCACTAAAAGGATCACAACACCTGCTACAAAATAACAACAAATTTACCAACAGTCTTGTCTACTACAATTCATAAGGAAATATGAATTGAAAATCAAGCTCTCTTCTTGTTTTTCAATGGTCCTCTGGGGATTTTACTCACAACCTTGGCATCAAACACTCCATACTGCTTCTCTTTCACAGTGTGCAAATGTGAATGCTTCAGGTGGTACAGAAACAGCACACTTCAGAAATGACAGCTGCCCCTCGGTGTTTTTCAAACTGTTGCCACAAACAGCAGCTAGTGGAAAAGGATCCTGAGATACATGTCTGTAACAGGAAATCAATAGCAAACATCAACAAATATTTACAGCAAAATATCGACAGCAAACATCAATCACAAAAAAAACCGAATGATAAGGCTGTGATTTACTGAGAACCAGGATACAATCGACAGTGACAAAGTTCAAACTTTACTGTTTCTCTTGATCAAACAAACAGAAACTAAAACCAAGCAAGAAAGCTTCAATTCCTCTATTAAAATCTACCAAAATTTACTGTCGTGTTCCTTATCTTAAGCCGAATGAGGTACTCGTTCGAGCTCGCACAGTTTCGGTTAATCCTCTCGATACAAGGATGCGAGCAGGCTATGGCCGTTCCCTATTTGAATCGCTTCTTCCATTGGTTTTGGGCCGTTCAGACTCTTAATGTTGGGCAGGAAGTTTTTGGTGCGCTGCTAACAACAGCTATGAGAGGTACTTATGCTGATTATGCTATTCTTGCTTTTACTTGTGCGATGTATCTTGAATCGAATAGACAGATTAAACTTGACAACTTAAAATCGACTGCATCTGTGATCAATAAAAATAAGATCGGTCAAAATCTTCGATTTACAGACAGCCATAGATACTGTTTCCCTTCCTTAGATTTAATATGAAGAACCTGTTCGATAAACCACAGATATGCCTAACCTGCAATTTCTTTCAAGCCCGCTTACTGTATTGAGCAACTTGACTGTTATCGAGAATCAAATCCGGCTAAAAGTCAAGCGATTTATGAATATCCGATCAAGAAGCAATCCTAAATCGATCAAGCTATGAAGCTAAATCGCTCAATGCAATGCCTAAATCGCTCAACCAGTTTGCTCACTGCTAAACATAAATCGATCAAGCTTCTCTTAATCGCTCAAAATTATCGCACACTGCCAGGCGATATAGGAGAAAATCGATTAAGAAAATCAAAATTAAATAGGACAAGATTGTTCCCGATTTAGATAATTGAAATCAAACAGTTGACCGATTAGTATCAGAATGCAAGATATACTTGACCGATTTACAGCATCTCACTTGAGCCATTTTCTAATCCGGAGAAGATGAGTTGAGCGGTTTACCTTGAATCCGGATAAGGCTCAATCGATTTATCAAGAATCCGGTTAAACTGTGATCGATGTAAACCTTAGTCCGCTCAAACTGTAAGCGATGAAGTTTCTTATCCGTTCAAGTCTTCGATTTACACTTCAATCCGTTCAAACTGTATCCTGTACAATGAAGAAGCTGTGAGCGATTTATCAAGAAATCTGAGAGAAAATTGTGAGCGATTTGGACTTATGATCTTGGATCCATTTGGGCTTTGATCGATAAAGGCTAAACCGGATGGGCCTAATCCGGTTGGGCTGGACAAAAACACAAAACAAAAAAATATTATTCACAAAAAAAGATCAAAAACTGATTTTCAAGTAATTTTCAAGAACAAAAAAAAATTTAAAAACACAAAAATTCACTAAAAACTTGAATTCAGATGATCAAATTATAATTATTTGTGAATAACAAAGATTCACAGTGTAAATCGCACAGTTTGATCATGGTTTTAACACGAAAATACAAAATTTAAAAAAAAAAAATTGGATCAACCTAAAGAAAAAATGAAGAACATCAAGAACAAGATGAACACAGAAAAATTTTAAAAAAATTCTTCAGATCTTGATTTCTTCTACTGATTTCGAGCAAATTCGGCTCTGATACCAATTGAGAGTCCACAATCAATCAATCTTCATTAAATCTTCAAGAACAATGACATATCTGGATTTACAATCAAGAACTTGAGAGGAGAGTTGAGAGGATTTGTCAACTTGGTAAAACTTTCATATACGTATAGAATTTTACAAATGAGCTATAACAAAGATTACAAGATATCACCATATTTATAGGGTCAAACAATACACATGATCAAAGGTCAAACTTCTCTAAAGAAAAGTCAAACACGACGACTTGTCTACAATTATAAACAATTTTATCTTTCAAGACGAATACAATTTTACACAGAATTTCATTTCTAACATTTTGCTTAGGCTTCTATTAGTTATTTCTATTTGTTTATGTTGTTTGTTTGACGACTTCCACTTATATTGGCTATATTTGTTTGCTTCAATTGTCTGCTTGACTATTCCATTTACTTTCCTTAACTATTGTTACTTAGTTGTGTTGTTTGTTTAATTTTTTTCAGGAAAAAAGGACGAAACCTGAGGAAAAAATTTATTGAAGAACAAAGAAATTACAAGAAACCCATATTTATAAGCTATAAAGCGCCTAACCAAAACCACGAGGGTGGTTCCTGGTTGATTTGAGTTTGGACTCCAAAGGTTGAAAGTATCTGGAAGTCTCAAGTTCAAATCCAATGAGGAACAAAAATCCCCTCATAGCCACGGAAGTTCAAATACGATGACTCCGGTTACCCGTAAAACATGTGGTCGCCCTGAAATTAGTCGAATCACATAGTGAATTAGATATTCAGGTTAATAAAAAAAACACCTAACCGAAAAAATCTTAGAAAAAGAACCCAAATCAAAACACCCCAACCCAAGTAATGGACAACACCAAACTAAGCCCAACTGAGAATCGATTGGCTATTGATATATGATTTTGCTTCTATAATGAGTATTACACTAATGTTTTACGGTTACTGTTATTTATTGGTTAATGATCTTTTACTGTTTTTATGACTTATGACGTGTTTTATAATTTTATGACTGATCAATAGATACTCTTTGTGAAATGCATTCAGTCAAACGTTTCGTGTACTTCTAATAGAAAAACATTAGTTTTGTAGAGCAAGAAAATAAGGAAAAAGAAATTCAAATATTTTCATCAATCGTTTAACTGTAATAGCATTTATTGAGATTCCATTGCAGATCATATGTCTTATTCATACATTATTGACTCCTAATTACCTAAATTTGAGTACCTTAATCTTAAGTATATTTCTATCTAATCACAAGGATGATGCTTGATTGGTTTGAGTTTGACTCCAAAGGTCAAAAGTACCAGGAGGCCACAGGTTCAAATTCAAAGAGGAATAAAAATCCCCTTGTGGCCACGGAGGTTCAAATTCAGTGACTTCGGGCTATCTGCAAAGCAGGTAGTCACTCTGGGATTAGTCGGCTCGCATAGCGGGTTGGATATCCAGATTAATAAAAAAAAGTATATTTCTATCTATAAAAAAAACAATAATTAGATTTCAAACTATAACTGACGTGGGTTTTTTATTATAAAATTTATTGTTCTCAAAAAGTTTGTTTTTATTTGAAGTTAATAATGAAAGACATTAATAGGCCATCTACCAAATGCATATTTACGTATGTGCTTACCAACAAAATTCAATACTATCACTTAGTTACCGGATAAGATTTTAGTCCACCAAAACTATCATATGCAATAATTTAAACGGTAAGCGCTAACCATGGTAAGAGTCATCGCACTCACTTACCAGGTAAGACTCTAGGTCCTTATCTTAGCTTTTACCAAATAAGATTCTTGATCGTTACCATAGCTTTACCATAGTCATCCGGGTAAGCGTTTGGTAAACGACCCCTAACATGAATTAATGTTGAGGAAAAACATATTTTCTGGTCCAAAAGTTAGATAAAATTGACAAAAATATGGAAACATTAAAGCCAAGATGTCATGGTTACATTACAATACATGTTATTGGGGGTGTGGTTCATTTATGGGGTTTGAAGTGATGTTGGGTGGTGGCTTTATTGTCTAAAGCTAACAAAATGGGCCTATTTTCACTTGGACCATTTAATGCTTTGATGTTGAACCTTTTTTATGACTGAAAAAGTTTGAGGGGTTTAAAAGGAATGTTTTGTAACTGCTTTGACTGAACTGCAAAAAGAAGAAAAAAGAGCACATATTCTACTATTTCCCCACTACATTCTCTTATCTTGCATTTAGGTCCTTTATGATTTCTTCATTGACTTTACAGTCCTTTAAGTTAACAAATGATTATAAGCATTGATGACAAAGAACTCGCTTATCAATGCAACAAAATTAGCTTTATAGAACGTCTGATCGTTCTAATAGAATATATTTTAGTTTTTAAGTTTATAAAATCAAACTATAAAACATCATATCTAAAATTAATAGGTTTATATGACTTTTTTTGACGTTTGACAAGGTTTTTAGGACACTTTTAAAACAAATGTCATATTGACATTGGACAAAAAAAATGTCATATTGACTCTTTTATAGAATATTTTTGAGAAGTGTCATTTAACCCATCTTTTTTATAGGACATTTATGTTTATATGACACTTTTTTTTGTCATATGCTATAGCTAATAGTATTTTATTTTAAAAGCATCGGAAAACCTTGTTGAAACGTCTAAAAGCGTCATATAAACTTATGGTAACACTTTTAAATAGGACGTTTGTTTTGGTTTGGTCTTATAAACGCAAGTCCTATAAAGTTTTTTTATTTATTATTATGACGTTTAAACATTTCAAGGATTCCATAAAGTATTTTATTATGACGCTTAGATATTTCAGGGATCCTATAAAACCAATAATGTTGTAGTGTATCTCTAAAAACCTAACGCCCTGCCCCCTAAATCTTTCAATCATGATAGTGAACTTAAAACTTGTCATTAACAATACATATGTAACACATCTTTGACACACGAGAATTTTCATCTCTTGGTCACAACATGTTCTCATAACCAATTTGTCTCGAGCAACCTTTTGTTGCCTACGTAGTTAAGGTATTGTATAATTTCTTCAAACATTATCAACTGATTTGAGTTGTTATAGTTGTCTTGACCATCTTCTTCACAAGCTTCTCGAGACACAAATTCTACGTTCACAATGTCTTCTGTTTCTCAGCGTCAACGCATCTTAGAGTCTACAAGATCCCATTCATCTCGACAACCCTACGCTACCTAAGCAATTGACATTCCAAATCTTGTTATTTGAAAGTTATCGGTCGACAGAAATAGCCATCTTAGGCAAATACCATCTTTATATGAACAATTTGATATACGTTGAATCTACAATCACACCAAAGTTTTCTAATATATGTCAAGTAAATTCTCATCGTAATTCCAAATTAACACACCTTTGATTTAACCACAACCATATTATACTTGTATCATGTTCTTCGTTTCAGATCTTCCATTTCATTGATTCAACACACATACACTAAAATTAAGTATTTCATATGATAAACATATCAAGTGATTAATTTGGGATTGCTTATTTGAAACAACTTATGCTTTTCTACAAAAACATTTATCAACTTATTATAAGTCAAAAGGGTTTAACTTCTTTAAAAACTTCTTATTACCGGTGTCACAAGTTGTTTATCCAAACACTCAAAAGTGTTTATTATCGATGTCAAACCGGAATAAGTCAATAAGTTGTTTTTATAAGCAATCCCAAACACCCCTAAAAAAATTGTGTTCCAATCTTACATATGCATCATCCAGATTCTGTAATTTGGTAATTGTGCTCAAAACTTTACAAAATTAAAGTGTATATACCATGTTACTTTTACATAATTTGGTCATATAAAACTACGTTACTTTTCAAGCTTGATTGTTTAAAGATGATTTTGACCAAAAAAATTATAACATATTAACGAATTTTAATAATTTTGTCAGTTTTGATAGTTTAGTTTTAGTAATAATTTTTGAAATTTAATAACCGAAAATACGCAATATGAAACTTAAAGGTGAAAATATGTTGTTATTTAGAGCCAAAAATAAAATATCATAATTCTCGTAAAGAAAAATAGAAAAAAAAATTCATATGTGATGGTTATTCAGGGGAGAAAGTAAAAAAAAAAAAAAACAAAGGTGAAAACCTTGATAAACTTTGAGGACTTCTATTGAACATCTTGAAACTTGAAGGATCGATATTGAATTTATTAGTTTTTTATCTTTTTTGTAGCATGGGTTAACCATTTGTTTCTGTCATCTTGGTATTTAGCACACTTTTGGCCTAACATACATTAGGTTTATATATATATATATATATATATATAT